GAAATGGTATTTGCATAATTCATTGGAGCTAAGCTGGCCCAAAGTAAATGTTTAAAATAATCTTATTCCTGGATATCTACTTTAAACAGTACAAGTAATAAATTAAGTACTCATGTAATGTTTATGATGCCTTAGGCTACATTCAGATGGACAGTTAGCACACCCTGCGATTTATGCAAATTCCTGCATCTTGAGTGACAGATGTGTGCAAATAGCTGCAGCCACTTAGTCAATACAGAATGCATCCAGCCATGATCACTGCAGGTAATCGCTGTCTGAGTGAACAGTCACAAATAGCTTTTTGCACACACTTGTCATCCCAGATACAGGGATTCAGATTACTGCTGCTGGAAATCACAAGGTGTACTAATCGCCCATCTGAACGTAGCCTACTCTCCTCACACACGAATATGCCCTCAGAGAAGCTTGTAGCCAGCTATCTTGTAAAGGATTTGTTTATTCCTTAACCATTTGAGTACCATCCTCTAATATGCCTTTATTACCAGGCCATGTTTTTCCAGTTTTCAGCACTATGATACTCTGACGGACAACTACTCTTTTACCCTAAATAAAGGAGAAAAAACAAAACCTGTGTTTCTTACTTTCTTTCAAAATTAAAATGCCAGAACAATATGAAAATCCCCAAAATGATTTTTTTTGGAAAGTAGATACCCCAAAGTGGTCTAATTTTTCCCACAGTTCTTTAGAACTGAAGAAATGTGCTGATATTGAGGTGATTAAAACATGGAGCTTGGAATGGGTGCACTAGATACTGCTTGAACAGGTCATACACTGAGGGAGGAGGAAGTGAAGGGTTAATATACAGGTCAGATACAGTAGGAGGATGAAGATGAGGGAGTTAATGTGCAGAGAACCGGGTAAAAAGAGGTGAAGGGTTAATATACAGGTCAAGTAAAGACAAGATGGAGATCAGATGTACAGGACAGGAGAGGGAGTTTGAAAGAATTAAAATAAATTCCATAATCACACACCCTAATTAAAAAATGTAAATGTATATTTAAGTGGACTATTTCATCCTGCCTGAGTTTGTATCCCTGTGGCTGGCCAATATCAACGACATTGAACATATGAAAAGTCTTACAGCTGCCCTTTACCACAGAGAGGAGAACGTTTGTAACACGTCTGATACCACGTCTATCTTCTCCTGTTCGTTGACATATCAGGAGCTATTACATCCTCTTGCTGTAGGACGAATAGTTCTGGTGCACCTTATGGCTCTGAGTAATGGCTAAATGCTGGAACATCACTGCTGGTTCTCCACCATACCTTGCTAGGGTGTCTGCTGTCAAGCCTCTCCACCTGGCACACCCCTCCCTCCCTCTGCCTCCCCCCCCCCTTCTCACCGTTGGAAAGCACTGGGATACGAACAACTCTGGTAGGCAACAGGCCTTCAGAGGTCTATCATGCATAATCGGCTCTAGGCCTATTCTTTGCTGTTATTTGCTCTTCTTGCTTTACGTTCATTATTAACATCAGAGGCCATTGACCTTGTGACACTACTTAACACTACTGTGTTTACCTCCGGGTACTTCACCCAGCTGCCTCTGAGATGTTCTGACTCTGAGATTGTGATTGTCAACCCCTGCATTTTGTATATTTTTAGAAAAGAAAAAGGAATTTAAAAAAGTGAACTATTTCATCTTAATATTTGTAATATTTTGGATCAATTCATAAAACTTACAATTACTTATTTGTTAGATGCTTTACAATTGCTTTTAACATATTCCCGTTTTAATATTTCCATGTATCTCTTGTGCTGGAAAAATGTACTTAGGGGTCATGTAGAAATGTTTGCACATAAGATTAACATAATTCCCCCCTGCCCCAAGAGCCATTCATTTTTCTAACTCTATTCATTTGGGAAAATGTATAAATCATGGGAGAAAGTTTTATGAATCTTGTTGGAAAATATTTATAAATAGACCTCTTAGTATGTAACTGATATATAAAATGCTGCTCACCCTCAGTGACCAGAAAGAAAGGGGGAGAGGAAGCAACAAAGGAAAACTGGAAGGCAGAAGTAGAAAAGTATGCTGTAATGAAAATGCCTTTACTCATTTGCACAGTTTTCCATTGCTGTTTTGTTTCAATAATTTTTTATTGATAGTTTTACAAAAGGTAAACAGGGAGAAAGCATTTGGTTCAGTATAAATGTAAACATACAATAAAGCTGTATTAAAATGTTACCCCACCTTTTGGCTAGGGTTGGATATAAAGTTACTGCATAGACATCGGAGGTATGTTAGGGGTGGACTGAACCGTGAGGAGGAGTACTGAGTAGTAAGGGGGTAATAAACGGGGAGAATAATAGGGGAAGGGTAGCGGGGAGGGGGGGAGAACTTGAGGTAAAATAGGGAAGGAGTACCAGTCTGACGTGGATAAGTAGAGCGATTGATTGTAAGGTATCGGGTTTACGGAGTAATTAGGGTTTTGTAACCAGTTGGACCATAAGGAGTTAAACTTATGTTGGGTGGAGTTATTAATTGCCAGTCTTTTTTCCATTTCGCATTGGAAGTTGAGATCTGAAATTAGCGATTGAAGGGAAGGAGCTGAGGTTGTATTCCATAATCTGGTTATATTTAGTTTAGCTGCAAAAAGTATGTGGACAATGATGGTACGGGAGGTACAAGGGAAATTGTTAATCCCAATGTGTAGGAGTGCAAGTGCCGGGTTAGGAGTTGTCTTTATTTTGGAAACTTTGGATATTAGTCAGAATATACTATTCCAAAAGGATTTAATAGATTTGCAGGCCCATAGTATGTGAAGAGTGGAGCCTAGGTCCCCGCATTGTCGCCAGCAGGAAGGGGGATGATTTGGGTAGAAAATGGCTAGTTTGGTAGGGGTTAGGTACCACTGATGAAGTATTTTCAAGTAGGATTCCCAATGTGAGTTGCAGTGAGAGGATTTGTAGGTGGATTTAAATGTGGTAGTCCATGTGTGAGTTGGAATTTCTGTTGCTGTTTTATACCCTTAGAAATTTGCCATTCTCATAATCTCATAATTACTGCGAGAGGTAAATTGCACATAAGCATACTGCAGAAACAGCTTACACCTGAGTATATGGTAAATGTTTAGTCATTCCCCAAAATACTTGGATATATTATTTCACCAATCTGGATGGCTTTCATAAGTTTGACCTGTATGCTGGAAAATTTTCAACATCCAAGGTTTCAACTTAAAAAAAAAAAGCTTGCTTAGATTATCAGTTGGCAGAATGAAAGAATTCCAGATGATAATATGAATTCTAAAACACATTAATAGCCATTTTTATTTTCATCAGAATTTGGTCAAAACCCTATCTGAACTTATCTTTTATACAGATTTTTAGAGCTTTTTGTGTCACAGCTGGGAAGATCCCATTTTTCTGAGCTGTTACTGGAACAGGCGGTAATGAAACATTTTTTAGTGAAAGCAAGTTTGGGTTCTTATTGTAGAGTTTCCTGTTGCAATGGCATTTATTTTGGAAGGTTATTTGATGAACGGTGAGAGTGATTGTTTTCACATAACAATTTTAAAAACCTAACAGGGGATCTAACCCTTCCACAAAATGTAAGAAAAAAAGTATTTGCTTTGCATACACGTTAAATTTATCTAGTCAGTTTACATACTACATATATTATGGGTGAAAAAAAACTGGAACACAAGTGGAGTTGTTACCCATAATGACCAATTAGATAGCTCAACCTTTTGTTCTTGTTATTCTTTCATCAAGCTTTTTATCGATAAAAGGGTTAAAACAAAATTCAGTTTGTGATAATATGCTCAAGAAATGAAGTGTATCTAGCCTAGAAATATTGTAGACTGATAGTATTTGTATTGTAGTTAGAAGGAGAGTTCAGTAAATATACTGAATTGCAGAACAGAATACAGTTTGAAGGATTGTTGAAAAATGTATTCATTTTATTAGCACATAACAATTTATACCTTTTCAATGCTATATTATAACATAATGTCTCTGCCACATAAAAGCATCTGCATACACATTGCAAGGCAAATGTGTTCAGACTCAGTAGTATGTTTTGGATAGTTTGGAAGACACCACAATGCCAGAGAGAGCCTGCACACAATATACACGTAATAAACACAGTGTCCTGAAAATTTAAAGCATAATTAAACCCAAAAAAACCTTTTTTTTTATTTCTTTATTTTTATGTGGTGATCAGCCAGTAACACAATTCCCATTTAAGGATGGTTATATTCCTCCTCCACTGTATCTATGAAGGAGCAACATAGCGACCCTTGGAAAGCAGCATTGTCAATCATTAAAGAGGGTAATAAAAGGGTCCATGCACATTGGGCTTAAAAAAAACGTTGCTTTTACAGGGGTTTTGCATGTTGCCCATAGAAGCATTTCAATGTTCTCTTACCTGTCCATGCACATTAGGACATTTAGAGGCAGAAAAAAAAACCTTTCTAGTTTGCGTTTTTGAAAGTAGTTTTCTGGCAAAAAAAGCCCCCCCACTAAACTCCTGTTAAAAAGTGCTCTGTGTGAGTATTCTTTTCTGCCAAAAGAACTGGCATTCTTTTAAGCAAAGTGTGCACGGACCCTTGAACTGACTAGTAGATTTAGATGGACTTTACATAAGTGACTAACAATGTAAAGTCCAACTCCAGCTAACACTTTTTAAGCAGTTACAGCAATAGTTTTTTTCCTTTTGGGATTAAGATTTTACATAAATAAAAGCTTACCATTGTAAGCACTCCTGTTAGTAGTAAATAGTTTGTCTCCACCCTCTACCTGCCTTTTTTGCTGTACAGCTTGGCCAGTTAAATGAAGATGAAAAATAACAGAAGCACTGGCTGGATCACCAGATGATAAACTATGTTACGGGGGTCTCAGAAAAACAAAAACAGCTGTGTTAAAGCTAGTGAAAGACTGTCATATATGCATTTTTTTCTATTTTGGCCATAGTGTTAGTTTAAGGCTGCAGTTGTGTAAGGCAGGAGTTCAAATGTATTTAAAAATCTTGTTTCTTCAGGAAATTTAGCCCAGGCAGAAGCTATTGGAAGAGAAGCCTTAAAGCTGTTGCCACGTGACCACTCCATCACATTTTCTTTAGCCAATGTACTGGGAAAAGCAGAGAAATATAAGGTGGGTCTAATGTCTTATATCTACTACACACGTTTATCAAACCATCTTTGTCTCTACAAATGTTTTTCTCATAACAGAGCTATGTTTAAATAATTGTGCTATGATAGTATGGTTTCTAGAACAAATCTAAACATTATAATGCTAAAATAAAAGAAGCTGCAAGAGGGTAACTGTACAAACACATTGGCTTATAATATATCCAGGGACATCAAGCAGCATTTCAAATGTAACCTCTTAACTCTTTCTTTTATTCCCTATGCTTTGAGAGCAGTAACCTTTTTTCTCAGTCCTGATCTTATCTCTAATGTGTAAGAAGAGCTCAAAAAGATTCAGAGTACTTTCACGGATGGTATTTCCTTGCCTTGCAGCAAGTACGACTTCCAAGTGCACCAAGAATCCCTGGCTCTGGTGACAATCAGTCCAGTTTGTTGAACCCGGAAGCCAGTAGGTCTATGTGTCCCTCACATGCAATGGAGAACACACCTCTGGGTGAAGAGACCATGCTCCGGAATCCAAGAGTTGACAATCGAGCAAGTTCACCTGCCAATTTTCCATGTCTGGGCTGTGCGTGGTGGTCAGGCCTGGAAAAATAGGATTTTTTGTTAATCACTGTAAAGTCCTGTTCTCTGTGTTCATTGGAGAACACAGCTCTTCTATTCTTGACCATAGGGCATAGTAGGACACTAGGCAGAAAAATAACAAAGCACTGCCTAACTGCAGTCCTAGCTGGTATAACACCCCTCTTTGCTGTAGGAAAGCCAGTTATTTCTGACTAGTGTTTCAGGAGTAAGGACCTTGTTTCATAGCCTTTTGTCCTTTTTTTTTTCTATTTTCTTGGAATTTTTTCCTGTGGAGATTTTCAGTCAACAGCCATGCTGGCTAATCTAGATCCAGTGGTCACCTCAGTTTGGCCAACAAGCGCACACACACCTTTTGCTATACACTGGGTCCACTGTGACAGCCCCATCCTGGACCGGGGTGGTCACCAAGTTAACTGTTTCGCAGGGATACATGTGACCTCCGTTCGTGTCACATTGTTACCATGACCAACAGCCCCCCACTTTGGTGGTGAGGAGATGTTACCCGCAGCCTCTGTGTATTGGTAAGTAGATGCCCCCCCCCTCCCTGGGCATACGTGGGGCATGGGTACTGCCTGGGGAAGTCTGTCCCTACAGGTTTCTCCTCCAGGTCTGTTCCCCCACTCTCTCCAAGTTCTGAGCTTTGTGAGGCCTGCAGTACTTTCCTTTAGGATTCATCTGTGCAAAACCGGCATGTCATCCCTATACTGAAGGAGGCGCACAGTTCTGCTCACAGCTTGATTCATTTTATTTCTAGTAAGTGCATATTGGTGGAGGATTGTCACAGAAGTCTTTTCCACATGGATATCCGTTCACCTCATGATTTTTTGTGAATACAGTTGCAGTTCAAGGATCATTTGCTACAATAAAGGACACTTCACTTGGGACTTTTTTTGATTGTTCAGTATTATTTGTTCATACATGTTTATTACTTTGACAGATGTTTACACTTACATAATGGTATATATATATAGTGCTGCACTCTTTATTATTGTTTGTTGATTTGTTCCATAATGTGGGGGAGATCCCTTCCCATGGCACTGCTAAGCAATTCCTGCAGGTGATGTTTGCAATAATGCTCAGATGTGGATCTCCTGCTGTCTCACCTCAATAGGAAGGTGCTATAATACTATAGAATAGGAAGGTTCTTCCTCATCAACTGAGCAGGGTGGAAGCTAAAAGGTTTTCAGCCTCTCTGGTGACTAGCTGTCGTGGTTGCCCCCTGAATACTACCTCTTCACACCGGCTGAATGCAAATGTGCCTAGACCCCAAGTGGCCACACATTTGCGTTCTATTAAAAAAGAACATATGTGGTGAGAGCGCGTGCCCTGCGTGCTCCCAGCACATATGTCTGGTACTCACGGAAAGGTCCTGATCTCCTCTTTCGATCAGGACCTTTCCCGGTCATGTGATTGCGTGTCACAGCGGTCACATGACCCTAAGCCCCGCCTCCCGGCTTCTGAAACCCTTAAAGGGCCGGGAGGCGCTGGCGCCAAGGGGTTAAGGAAGACTTTCTGTACCAAGGACCGTTCTTCCACCCTATTTCACTGTCTCTGGCTTTGACTGCATGGGTATTGAAAGCCTGGTTCTGGAATTCAGGTTTTCAGATTTTGGTGATCCTGACAATGTTGAAGGTGTGCAATTTTCTTTATGGGAGGCTCACATCGCCTGGTGCGAGACTCTGGGTGTCCATCCACACCGCTTCTGGTTGGTTTGAGTTTTGATCTTCTCCAAAGGGACATTGAACAAAAGCTTGCCTTCAGTACTATTGAAGACCAGGTTTCTGCTGTGGCAATCTTCTTTTGTGACCCTTGGTAACACACTCCTTGATTCATACCTTCATCCAAGGGGTTCACCATGTGGCACTTCCTGTGCATCCCCTTTGCCGCTGTGGGACCTGAGCTTGGTTCATTCGATCCTTAAGAAGCCCCCTATGAGGGGATTTAGGATATTACCTTACTGATGCTATTTCAGAAAGTTGCCCTTTTTGATCACCTTCATTTCCGCACAGTGGGTGTCTGTGACCTTCTTATGTATGTTTTTCTTAAGGGATAAGGGGATCCTCTGTCCATATCCCTTATCCTTTCCATAGGTGGTGCTGGATTTCCACCTGCTGAGGACTTTGTCCTGCTTTTTTTATGTCCACAACTTTTGCACCCTGAGGAGATTGCACTGCTCTCATTGGATGCGTTCTGGGTTCTTCCTCTTTTGTGATCATGGGTGCCCCTTGGAATTACCTGGTGTCCTGCTCTGCCACTATTTCCTGAGGGATTCGGCAGACAGTTGTTTTAGGTTTTTACCACTGAGGGTCGGGCCCTGCCTCTCCTTATCATGGCACTCTTCTGCAGAGCAATTGGTGCCTATTAGACTTTCCAATATCAGGTGTTTGTATGCCTGTGTTTTGAGTTTGTAAGATAGTTGTCAGTCTGCAGTTTTATCGATATTTACTATGTGTATGTGTTCGCATCCTCAGATGCTTGTTTGGCCGCAAGGTTTTGCAGGTTGTTGTTCATGGTTCCTTGGTCCTTTGTGAGGGATTTTGTGTTGGTGGTTGGCATGTTTGCCTGGTTCCTCCTGTTTTTTGTTTGCCCACCCCTCATTGAGACACTGCTTTGGGACATCCCTATAGTCAAGAAAATAAGAGCTGTGTCTGTCTGTCAATGAAGGTAAGATAAAACTGGATTTTTTGTTACTCACCTTAAAATCCCTTCTTCTGAGTTCATTGATGGATACAGCACCCATCCCTCTTCCTGAGTTTTTTTCCTCTTTTGCTGCTTTGTGACTAACTGGCATGTCTATAGTGGAGAGGGAGTTTATATAAGCTAGGGCTGCCCATAGGCTGTGCTTTGTTCTTTTTCTGCCTAGTGTCCTACTCCTGTAGGTGTTGTTACAACCCTATGGTCAAGAATAGATGTGTCCGCCAATGAACAGAACTTTATGGTGAGTAACAAAACATTTATATTTATATAGAGAACTAAATAGATTATGCATATGATATACATGGTGCATTTGTTGTTCAATATTTAATTTATTTGAACTCCGAAACATATTGTATTTGCTATAACTTCTCAATCTGAACTACTAACATGACTGTTGCAAAATATTAGGCAGATGTTCTACTTTTCACTCACAATGTGAGTAAAAGGTTTACCAAGGCATCCAGTTAATCATATGTAGTGCTCATCCCCAAAAGGAGCCACTGGGTTTGGGTCCCCCTATATCCTGCACAACCAGGCAACATGCATTTTTCCATCTTCCATTCAGAGTCAGTAACCAGTCCATTAGCTTGTTTTTGTTGTTTTATTAGGGGGTAAACAACTTAGATCAGGTTTAGGGGTATACGGGATGCCCAACTTGACTTGCTGTAATAAATCTGAGGACAAACTTCCTACTTCTGTACAAAAAAAGTAGAACCTGAACTTTCTACTCCAGCCAGAGTGGCACAGTCTCTCAATGAAACAATAGCACAGTCTCTGTGAGGAGCACCTGGTTCCCTCTAAGTGAAATCTCTTCAGACCCAGCTAGGAAATGTCCATCCACCTGGCTGTCTTTTGAAACGTATCCTGGAGCAAGAGGTTCCAAAACAGGCATGCAGCACTGTCTCAGGGAGAACTGGTTAAGAATTGCACCTAGCAGCCCTCTCTCCTGTAGACCCCAGGGGTGTAGAGGTACTCACACTGCCCTTGTATCCTGTAGCTCTGGGTAAACTACATTTAGGCCTCTCACTGAGACAGTTTCTGCCCCCGCTTGCAGGCTGTCCTTCCCCAGTGGACTGTAAGACAGTGGCGCTCCCTCTGTCATCCTCCTTTCCTTGCCTCCAGCCTGGAGGCAGAACCTCCCTTCTCTGTGGTCCCTTCCCAGGCTACACAGCAGCACCTTCAGTAATCCATCTTGCATCTGACTATCCTTGCTGGCAGGCTCTTCCATATATATGGGCTGCTCTTCCCACAATGCCAGGACCTCCTGCCTGGGATTGGTCCGACTCCCATGAATATGCAGATAAAGGTCTCCACCACTCTGCCCACTATCTTCTGGAAGTTTCTAGGGGGAGGTGATAGAGGCCCAACCTGCTGATTCATTCAGCCTTACCTGGACTTGACCCCTACTCAGACATGCTCACTCCAACTAGTGAGTGGGCCATTAAAATTTCCTAACTATCTAAAAACACTAGAGGGTCCCACACATATGTTTTAGCTGCTTGGTATTCTACACAGTTGATTGCTGCTGGTAGCTGCACAACATTGCTGGTTATGCAAACTCCACACATACAGCTACATACAGCATCAAGTCATATGTACAGTTTTTGAAGATAAAAAGGTAGCTTAATTTTACTGTTTCAGCTGATTTGACTGTGTTCTTTAATATCCTTCTTCGTATTTTAGAAATATGTGCAAGATGTTCATTTAATTTTGTGATGCTTTGAAAACTTTCTGCAATGCATTGTAGATGGTTTGGCCACATGAGGGCAGTGTTTTTTAATTGTCTTTTGGGTAAAATTGTATTTTACATGATATCTACCAACATTTTGAACTTTATACTGATATTTATTATTGGTTAGCTTGGTATGTTTTATTTGAATATTTGCAAATTATATATTTTTTTTATAAGTTCTCTATAGTTATGAGATACAAATAAAAATGGTCATTTACTTTTGCTTTCTAACAAAATGTACTGAAACCTCTGAGAGATATGCTATTGTCTTATTTTAGGAGTCTGAAGGTTTGTTCCTTAGAGCTATTGAGGCCAACCCCTCTTCCGCAAGTTATCATGGCAATTTGGGTAAGGCTTTGATTCCATCATTAATATATTCTTTAACGGAAAAAATGTCACTCTCTAGACATTAACTGTGAGATATTTTCACAGTGATGGAGTGGAAAATTAATTATCAAACAATGTCAAGAAACAATTGTAAAAAGGCATATGTTTTGCAGTTCTTTCTCACTGTGTTGTAATTGAAAAGGGTAAAATCAATTTCAATCAAATATATGTGTGCACAAAAGACACAGCGATTGGAGTGAAGCCTTTTCCTTTATGAGGAGATGACTGTTATAACTGTAAAGACCCCTGATGCAGATGCTTTGTTTAGGAAACCCCATGAATAGAATTAAAAAATAGAAGAGGACTTTTGAGGCCTGCTTTTTCTTACAGTAGAATTCTGTCAAAGTTTTCAAGACATGCTGAGTTAAAAAGCATTGCAGAGAAGGTGGACAGGGCAAAACATAGATCCTTAGGTCAATGTAATAATTAGTATATATTGTGCTAATCATCCCAAACTGTCAAAAAAACTATTTTTGATTTTGGACATATAAAAAAAAAAAGTTTTAAATATATTTTAGCAGAAATCTTTTTATATCAAATTATGTGAAAATTCCAAAGAAATTTAGCCCTTAATAGGCATGTTTACTTCCAAAAAGTCTATAAAATTATTGGACACTGAGAGAAATGTTCTGTATTGCTTTTAGTATACGTTTATTCGAGTCATGTGTGACTAACCTAAGTACTGAGCACTTCTAGCTAACTTGTAGGAAAATCTCTGTGCATTAACTGTTGATCCTGCTATAACAGAATGTCTTAAACAGTTTGAAATATGTTATGAAGGAGGAACAAGGGTTTCAAACTGTTAAAGACCAAGTTAAAACATATTTAATGACTTTCATTTCACCCTTCATCACCAGGCCATTTTACAATTTTCAGTGCTGTGATTGACAATCACTCTGCCATGCAACACTGTACCCAAATTAATTCTATGTCTTTTGTTTTTGTTTTTTTTGGTTTGAGACAGAGCTTTCTTTTGGTGGTATTTAACCAATTCAGGTTTCAGCGCTCTCACACTTTGAATGACAATTGCGCGGTCATACAACATTGTACCCAGACTAAAATGTTTATCATTTTCTTCACACAACTAGAGCTTTCTTTTGGTGGTATTTAATCACCGCCGGGGTTTTTATTTTTTGCTAAATTAACAAAAAAAGACCGAAAATGTTGAAAAAAAACACGTTTTTCTTTGTTTCTGTTATAAAAATTTGCAAATAAATAATTGTTCTTCATAAATTTAGGCCAGAATGTATTCTACTACATGTCTTTGGTGAAAATAACCCAAATTAGGGTGTATTTTTTAGTTTGTAGGAAAGTTATAGAGTTCACAAACTATGGTATACATCTGAATATTGATCAATCCTGAAGTACTGACAGCCAATCTAATTTCTTGAGGTCCAAGAATGTCAGAACAGTACAGATATCCCCAAAATGACCCCTTTTTGCAAAGTAGACAGTCTGACGTACTTCATAGGAGGCATGGCAAGTTTTTTGAAGTTGTATTTTTTTTGTCATAATTTTTCGGAAAATGAAAAAATAAAAAAAAATATTTTCACTATTTTTTTTTACATACTGTCACCAGTGCAGTACAGCGTCGTCATATAACTGGCATGGCGGTGATCAGGGACATTGGTGACCATGTGGAAAAAAATTTTTTTTTTTTTTTTGTATTTAAATTTTTTATTACATTTTTTTTTTTTTTTCTTTTTTTTTTTTAAGTTTTTCTTTTCATATTTCACTATGTCCAGAGTAGTACAATGTTACCATAGTAACATTGTACTACTTTGGGGAAGTAATCAGTATTTTCTTTTTTTTTTTTTTTTTTTTTTTTTTGTTTGTTTTTTTACACAATTTGCTTATAGCAAAGAATTACTTTGCTATAAGCAAGCATTTACCTGAATGACATTGATTCATTCAGGGGTTTATTTATTTATTTATTTTTTTGTGCTTAGCTGTGATTTGGCCACAGCTAATCACATGACATGTGCATGTGATTAGCTGTGACCATTCACAGCTAGACACTAGTATACAATGGGTGGCATGAATGAAGACATCCATTGTATACAACTGTCATGTGACCTGCTGTGATTGGTCACAGCAGGTCACACGTATCGGCAACCGGGCTGATAATCAGATCTGTCATCGGCCATGTCCGAGGTACATGGCCGGTGACAGATCGCGCCACTGCGCGGCTCTGCAAGCGTGCGAACTGTGCATGTGTGTGGGAGTACGCCATATGGCGGCCCCCCGGAAAGCTAGTGCATTTTTCTGGACGCCATAGGCTATTGGCCGGGCGTCAAATGGTTACTAACTGCCGTTTTCTTTCTTTTTTACTATAAGAAGGAATCAAAGACCCATTTCCCTTACTTTATGTTAAAATAAAAATATCAGAATAGTTCAAAAACCCTCAAAATAACCCTGTTTTGGACAGTAGACACCCAAAGGTGATATCATTTTTTGCAACTTTTTTCTTTTGGAAATGAAGAAAAATGCCAGTATTGAGGGGGTCAAACACAGGGCTTGAGAACAGTGAACTAGATACAGTGATGTACAGGTCATACACAGAAGAAGGAAATACGTGAAGGGGTTAATGTACTGATCACATACAGTGGCAAGATAGAGATGGATGGGGTCATTGTTCAGATGTACAAGATATAGGAGGTGAAAGGGTTAATATAAAGATCACATGGATATCGTATGTGTAGAAGAGGAGGGGGGCACGAAAAGGGTTTTTAAAAAAAAAATCCCTGTGTCACTGCAAAAGAATGAATGAATTTGCAGCTGCTGATTCATTCATTATTTCCTCAGTCACAAGTACTCAATATCTTTCCTTCCCCTGTTGTAGGGGGAAGGGGAGGAACCAACATTGTAAACAGTACCATGTGATTGTTGTGATGACCGCTCACAGCGGCCAGCTTGGTACAGTGTCTCTGTGTACAAAGCCATCTAATGACAGCTCAGTGCACAGCGATTACCAGGTGGATCATCACGCACTCTCTGCTCCTCACAAGACCTCCTTCTCTCTAGTTCCCTGGTCTCCTCCTCCCATGCCCGCCTCCAGGACTTCTCCAGGTTGTCACCCATCCTCTGGAACTCCCTGCCCCAACCCATCAGATTATCACCTACTCTCCTCTCCTTTAGGCGCACCCTGAAAACCTATCTCTTCAGGGAAGCCTACCTGACCCCCTGCTAACCTGCCGACCTCCTCCACTCTTCCTACCACTCCATCCCCACAGCTATCTCCTCCTGTACCACTATCCCCTCCCTCCTAGATTGTAAGCTCGAAATAGCAGGGCCCTCGATCCCCTCATGTTTTGCATTGTATTGGTATTGTTCTGTCACATGTTCTGTCCCCCTTTGTAATGTACAGCGCTGAGCGAACTATTGGCGCTTTATAAATACTGTATAATAATAATAATATAACCAAGTGCGGAAAACTGTAGCAAACATTGTTTACATAATAAATCCATGTGCTTTTCATTCTAAGGTGTTTTAAAATACAGTAGTTACAGCTTAGTTTATGATTTGCAATATAAAGTATGGGTAGTAAGGTGACAAATGTAAACGTGTGTTTGGAATATACTTTTTTTCTTCAAAATGCATGTTAACGAAAAATTTGTGATTATCCTAAATACTAAAATGTGTAATGTGTTTCAGCTGTTCTTTACCATCGCTGGGGACATCTGGACCTGGCCAAAAAATACTATGAAATTTCCATGAAGCTTGACCCTTCTGCTCAGGGGACCAAAGAGAACTACAATCTTCTGAAACGAAAGCTGGAACAGAGAGGCCATATGTGAAGCACAATCAAGATAGGGGAGCAGGCCAGGAACACTACAGCCATTTGCAGACACATCTGGTACTGAAATGGTGTCCGCTTTATGATTGCACCGAAAATCACCTTGTTTCTTTCTATTTTGCATAGATGTTTTTCAGCAGGCCCAAAATAATAGCTACCAAGCCATTAATATGCGTTTGCTATTTTGCCCAAAAGCATGGAATATGAAATAAGAACCTTTTTCTGGAAAGTAGCACAACGTCCTACGCCAGTGGCACCAATGATTTAAACAACTTGTACTGTTAACATTATTTATTTTGTCTTTTTTAATGTTTGTTGCATGTGTCTTTTATGCAGATTGTTATAAGGATACAACATGCTTTACATTAAAGTGGTTACAAACTAGTGCATAGACCCAGTGAAGTGACTAGCATTAGGTGATACACAGATAATAAACAAATCCTCCTACATAAGATTAGCTGTGTATCTGCAGCTATCTCCTCTGTAGATCATTCTGAAAACTAAGCGGAAAGGATTTCTCCTCAGTTTTATCACCAGGGTACAGGGATCTGATGAAAGCTGATAGCTCTAAGCCCAGTCTGGAGGGAGGGAATACACCACCATTTTTACAGTACAAAGAAAAAGCACAGCTGTAAATATGAGTCACTGCAGCTTCCTCCACGTCACCATTTTAACTCTTGGCGTCGGGAAAAGGTGCCTCATGCTAGTAACAGAAGAACTAGGCAGCAGAGAGAAATGACACTCAGAGCTACGGAGAAAGACAAGTACGCACTATGGAAGGATGTCCTTTTTCTTTCATGTCTGAGGTTTACAACCACTTTAAAGGTGTGAAGATTTTACCTGAGCATCTGAACCTAAGACTGCATCCTTTACTTGTAGACAACTGTTTTTTGTTTTTTCATTTTTTAAATAATACCCTGTTATAGTTCCAGCAGTCCTGTAACTGAGTAATCCAAGGCATTTTATGGACATAACTGCATATATATTTGATTTCTTTAGAAATTGTATGTACTTAAATGTTCATCTACTTTGTCATCTTTTTTTTTTTTTGTGCAGGGCGGTTTCACTTTTAGTAATTGTAAAATAACCTGAAACCACTTCTTAGAATTGTTACACACCTCTGCCTTTCTTGCACCTTAGCATTCCACAGTGTGTGTGTAATCTGTGATATGTCATTTTGTTATTGAAGTGTGTCACTATGTTTAGCATAACTGTAAGCATGTAAAAATTAAAATAATTTTATTACCTTCTTAATGTTAATGCTATTATTTACCAAAATCAATGAATCAGCCTCCCAAAACTCAATGTCTTATTGTGTGTAGGAAAATCAGAAATTTGACCTACCTTTAAATTCTGTACAATACAGGACACAGGATCCGTATTCATAGACCATGGGTTTTACACTACTACGTTCTGGTGACTTGATGCTGGCAAAACCTTTGCTGGGAATACCCTGCAGTGTACCCTTATCCAACCCCAATTCCCAAAAAGTTGGGACATTGTGTAATATATACATAAAAACAGAATGCAATTATTTGCATATCCATAACCCATAATTTATTCACAATAGAAAACATATCAAATGTTTAAAGTGTTACTAAACCCAGGCCCCTGCATTCACTATATCTTTTCTCCCACAGTACACACAACATGGAAATGCAATTATTTTAGGAAATATAAACTGCTAAATACCTTTTCTCACTAGCAGTATATAGCAGTCTTGTGACTTCTATCAGTGTCCAGCTGAGCACTGGTTAATGATTGTAGGAGGAGTTTTCATTCTCTGATTGTCTTATAAAACTGCACAACCCCTGACCCTCTGTCTGGATAGTGCTGATCACATGTACTTTCTCAAGGAAAAAAAAAACTCCACCAATACACAGCAAACTGAGCATGTGAAGAGTGCCCCCAAGGCTCTGATCTATCAGTAGATAGATTGGGAGGATCAGAGAAGATAGGATCAAACAGCCTTTTTACACAATGCAGAGGATTAACCCCTTAGGTTCCACAGTGAGTGTAACAAGCATACTTTACTGCATATACAGACTGATTTTACTGTTGTGCATTTAGCAACATTTTAAACTGAGAAAATAAAACTAAGAAAAAATAAGTTTTTTTTTTTTTTAAATTGGTGACAGCAGAACATCTCAAACATTTTGGGACAGGGCCATGTTTACCATGAAGTAGCATCTCCTTTTAACAAAACTCTGTAAGTGACCGGGAACTGAGGAGACCAGTTGCTGGAATGTGGGCAGAAGAATGTTGTTCCATTCTTGCCTGATATATAATTCTAACTGCTCAACAGCCCTTGGTCTTTTTTGTCATATTTTTCATTTTAAGATGCATCAAATATTGTAAATGGTGAAAAGTCTGGACTGCAGGCAAGCTAACTAAACGCCCAGACTCTTCTATTATGAAGCCATTGCCCTGTTGAAATATTTAAGGCCTTACCTGAAAAAGATGTCATCAGGATGGAAGCACATGTTGCTCTAAAACCTGGCTATATGTTTCAGCATTGCTGGTTCCTCTCCAGATGTGCAAGCTGCTATTCCATATGCACTAATGCACCCCCATACCATTTCACAGGCCGGAAGGTCCCTCTCCACTTTAGTCCATAGGATGCAGCATCAATACTTGCCAAAAATATTGTTAAAGTTTAATTAATTTGACCACAGAACAGTTTTCTCCTTCCCAACAGACCATTTTAAATGAGCTTTGGTCCTGAGAAGATGGTGGCATTTGTGGATCATTTTCAGATAGGTTGGACGTGGTCCCTGTACTCCTTTGCTAACAGCAGCTTGAACAGGGAGCCCCGCTGCTGGTGCTAGGAGGGGCATCAGGCCGTGGTAAAGTGCTGCCGGCTATGGAGTGTCACACCTGTGGGGGTTCCTTGGCGTCTGCTGGCAGGGATAAAATCCTTCCATGGTGGCTGGTGGGGATGATGGCGATGGATAGAGCTGTGGATACTGCTAAAGGGAGCGGTGCTGGTCTCCATACTTTTTACCAGCGCTACGTGGTCAGTGTGTGCGGGCCAGCGTGGAGCAAATGCTGCGGCCTGCTCTGAGCATGTGCAGGACCGCTCGGCCAACCAGGAGAAGGGAGGAGGGGCCAGGCTTAAGGGAGCCAAAATTTAAAGATGCTTCTGGCTGAAGCATCTGGCTCCTATGTGACTGTGTGCTCCTGGAGCCTGCCTGTGCCTGCTATTCCCTCTCCAAACATGCATTGCACCTGCAAGGCTCTTCTCCTGCATTGCTCTGCCTCATGCTCTTGGTTTTGTCCTTTTACAGCAGTGATAACATGCCTACCCCCTCTAAACACCAGCATTCTCAGAGAAAGTAGAGGAGATGTCGCCAGATGCACATATTCTTTTTGTTATTTTTCAAGTCAATGACTTATTTTTAATTTTTTTTTTGTCTGTGCTGCCCCAGCTCCTCGGGTCTTGGTCATGATCCTTCCCAACAACAGAGGCCTTGCGTTCCCATTCAGCCTCTAGGGGTCAGTGCTCCCCATCACGATACAGCAGAGATCCGCATCATGACCAACCCAGACCAGGAGGATGCCGGGCATGCCCCACGCTGGGCAAGATGGCTTGTGAGATTTGCTTCAAAGAAGCAACCAAACACCAAGAACCCAATAAGGCGGAGATGGTATCGCTAATGAAGCAGGCATTTGAGGAGATGCTAAAGGCGTTTGCATCGCGGTCACAGCCATCAGCTGCCCCAGTTATGTCCACCTCACACTGCTTGTCTCCGCAGATGCCGCCAGCTAGTCAAGTGATGCCAGAGGCCCAGGAACCTTCGGCCTCAGATGCTGTTTCCTCAGAGGAGGATGAGGGCCATTATGACGGTTTTGATTTTGCCTTGGTCCTGAAAGATATCCAGTTTCTTGTTGAATCTGGATACCCACATCTGGTGTTCCCCATTTCTGATAGAGCATCAGGTGTTCTGCCGTGGCAGTTTTTGACTGTACCCTTACTGGGTGATTGTGTATGAGAGGGGTCCAGGACAGTCAGTCTCACAGCTGGCAACCATCATTAACACCTCCCAGGGAGAGGAGAAGAATGAGTTTTTTGGATTGTAGACATTTTATAGACAAGTTGGAAATTCACCAACCCAGAGAGATTTTTTGCCAGACTGGATAAAGTGGTGGAAAATCCAGAGAGAAGATATGTTTGTCTCATGTCACGAGACTGCTTGGCTGCAAACAGTGGAACTGAGGAAATGGAACCACCTCAAAAGCAGCCACCATGAGACCCAGGGCCCTCATTCAGAAGCAAATCGAGGGATGCCTGAGGCTGTACTGAGAGTCAGACAGTTGGAAGTTAGAGAAGCAGCCTTTTCCTGGAGAAGGAAGGGTATGCCTGGGCCATGTCTAAAATCAGTCCCGGATTCTCTTTAGGCCAGCCTTTCTCAACTGGGGTGCCACCTGAGGTCCTCAGGGATGTCGTGGCAACCCGGCTGAGAGAGGCATTCACATCACAGCCGAGCTTCCGCTCCAGCCGAACATCGGTATATCTGGAGCTTGGCCACAACAGTTTTGTGTAGCTCAGAGGAAGAGGGAGGCCATAGGTTGTTTTTGTGGGGTAGAAGTACTTTCCCCCCAGTAACTTCCTTGCTAAATGTATCAAGAGATTCATCAGACAGGTGTTTACCATAGAAGGGCAGGAATAATAGACTCCATTTACATACAGGATCAGCAGACCAAGGCTGTAACCACAAAGGGCACTGTAATCCTAGGGGAATTTTATATATATATATATATATATATATATATATATATATATCTATCAGTGCTGAAGGCATGAGCTGCAATTGTCCTAACAGGTTCAGCTAGGTACTGAACCTTTTAGAAGCCAGCCTTGGTTCCATCTCTGTGACTGGCGTATTGCTTTAGTCCTAGGTAAAGCTCAGGTCAAGGAACTACATCGGCAGCAGAATGGCCTGCCTCTTCAGGCCTAAGTGAAATCCCTGAGGATTTAAAGTTGCTGATAAACATGTTGAT